GAGCAACCGGGCGGCATATATTTCAAGTCACATGATCGGCAGCCATTGTGATGAGAGCACCAACGGGAACTACCACAGCAACGTAGCACTCCAATCGACCAACCACAGCAACGTTGCACTCCAATCGGCCACTCCAGCATCCGGTTGATTCCACCATGTATCTAGGTTCTTCGCCAGATGCATATCTTTATGCACTTCTGCCAACGTACAATGGTGAAGATATTCCGTGGAGCAAGCCTTTATGTTTTATGGAATATTTCTCTGGCAGCTCGACTCTCATCAAACCCATATGTAGTTAGCATTCGAGAGACGTCGCAAGGCCAGATGTTTGCAGGTCACTCAATTCAACACCAACATAGGCGTCGAATCGAGATCTCGATTCCAAGCACGGAGCCTGCTCTTGTCACAACTTAAGAGACTCATTGTTAACTAAGTTTCTTCTCATAAATTTCGTATTATTTCGTCCCCTCCGTTACTGCACACGATTTATCATATTTAATACTTTCGGAATACTGTTTGCACTTGCCACCCAAACGACAGAAGCACCTGTGTGTTCTAATCAACAGACGCAACTTTATTCGACAGCTCTGCCTACAAGGATGCATCTCTTTGGCGTTTTATCTCTTCACCTCTACTCCTGCTACCACGCCAGGATTCCTGTGGGTATTTCAGTTCGGTCGGCCAACGAGCCTGCTTCATGCAGCATAAATATGTGTCGAAACCTTGTTGAGCATCGAAGAGAAGGGACCGAAAAGGACGAAAGCCGGGAGGGTTAGGCAACTATAGGAGTTGGACTTCCTCAGCTTAGCCTTATTAGTGCAATCCATAACCTGAGTATGCCGGTATTGCTACCCAGTGGTGACGAGTCATGGTTTGCAGACAAGCCTGTCCAGTACGCGATGCTGCGTGCGAAACCACTCGTGCCTTCAATAGACTACAAGGATGCATGGTTCAAGACGAACGCGCGTGGTTCCTCATGGCCAGCTACCCTGTGGCTGCCCTGGTAGGACTTGTGTTTGTGGGCTGAAACGCTCAATGATGACAACAGGAGTTCTTGCACTCAATCAAGTGTTTTGTCTGGCATTTTCTCGACACTTTTCTTTGAACACATGTGTCCTTTAAAACCCTGGAGGCCCCAAGAAGTCTGGCTGGATCATCTCAGCACTCTTAATGCCGACATCCTCCTGTGCCGAACTAGGGAGTGACGAAAGGAAGAGAGAAATTCATCTCTTTCAGTCATATATTCATTGCACGCATGCTACTGTCTATTTAGAGTCCCTCCAACTCCCCAAGCACTTGAGCCATTTTAAATGTGGTAGAATGCCAAGCATAAGCTATTGCGTAAATGAAAACATGCTATACGCGACACTGACTCAACATGCTTCTGTCTGGAAGTGTTGCGCCAAAAAAAAAAAAAAAAAGCAAAATTATAAATCTACTGAATTCCTTCTAGTAGCGCTAATAGTAGCCTATATTCTAGGCGACGGGAGGCTGGCTTCGCAGTTACTTGGTGAGCGAAATACTCCTGACGTGTTCCGCTGCCGGGAAGTTCTGACAAAGCACAGAGGTAACCGCCGTGCCACTCCGCAGCGATGGTCTTTCTGGCGGGCATTTGGCGGTAGTTAACTGGCTCGCTATATTGTTTCTAAACATAATCAAGCCCAATGAACCTGTGCGAAGTTGCACCAGGGCCCTGCCTGGCTCGATAATGAATGGCCGTTATGTACAACGCACTCGACTGGCTCTCAAGCGGCAGAAGCTCAAGAAATGTTATTCAATGTGGGTAGTGAAGAAACATTATAAGTTGACTTCTATCGTGGTTGATATCGTGAAATGACCAACTTCGTTAATGGCGAGTTCAATGAGCTATTTTGGATGAACCATTATGGCCAATTGCATACTAATCAAACAATCTGCTAGATCTTCAGGCCGCAAAATCAGCACTAGCTAGCGCCATGGCTGGGGCCTTTTTGGTGGAAACAGTGAATAAACTCCGGTATCAGTCTGAGCAACTTTGGAAACGTAGTACAATCTTCTCTAGCTCGCTTCTGAACGCGGTATGATTTTCCTATAAGCCCTACTTCTGTGTCCATCGAGATAATCCGGGGGAGCCACATAATATTCCGAAGGGGACTAGTTTTCCGGAATTCCGCTTGTATCGTATGGTATGAATATTGATCGCATCAGGCTGGCTCTGTTTACTGAACAAGCAGACGGGCGTACTGGCTGGATAGTCATAGAATCCTAGATATCAGAAATTTAGGAGGCTGGCTAGCCGCGTTGATTTCATCATGTGGCGGGTCCTCCTTTTATAACTGTCACATGAACCTCTTTGGGGGATAGAGGAAGGACAACAAGAATGATGAATTCGGGAAAAGAAAAAGCCAAATTAGCAATGGTCTCATAAAGTGCCAGTTCCGGACAATTGTTTGGACAGCTGGACAAAAATGGGACACTCCTCTTTTCCTACACAAAGAACAAAATCATACAGGAACTTAATGTTTGTCGGAATGCTGCTGTTGCTTGCCCTGAATGAGCAGCTTGATCATAACAGAATGCGTG